ATGCTGCCTCATTTCCTAAGCACACACTGCTCTGTGGTTTTTGCGTGACCTTACCTCGTTGACTGCAATTTTGTCCTTTTCTCGTGCGGTATATAAGATGTTTCTTAGGGTCATTTTAGATTTTGTGTTTTTCAACAAGGTGCAGATACCAGCGCTGAGGATGTCCAGTACATACAGTTAGGGGAGGCTTTTCAGACTGTACCATGGAGAAAAAATGCTTTTTTCTTTGGACCAGTGCAGCTCGAGTGAAAGAAAGCCCTTTCCTTGCTTTGTGTTGCACGTGTGCATTTACTTAGCAATCTAAGCATATCATTCCTAGAAGGTCTGAGCAATTCCTTAATTCACTGAAAAAGTGAGGTAATTATTCCAAATTGAATAAAAATGTTAATATTAAAAATTAAAAACAAGTATATTGAATGCGAGTTGTTTAAACCTCCTTTCATTTAAAATAAATACAGTCATACTGAGCTGCACTGTCTGCCCAGTGGGATACATGGTGCCCAGATAACTGAAGTAACTTAACAAAAGTTGTATGAAGGGCAGTATTTTCTTAATTGGCAAACTTTAATTTCTGTAATCATGTATTCGTACCACACCTTTAACCTTCCCGCTGAATATTAATGTTTTACTTGACTCCACTATTCATTCTTTGCTGTGCAATCCATGATTTTTTTTTTATTACTGACTGTTACTTTAACTTTGGCTGTTCATGTGGCTTTACAAACTGTCTTGCAGATCTAGATTTGAAAGATACAACAGCAGTCACATATGGAGCCTAGTCTTTAGCTGTCATAGCAGGTAGCAAAACTAAATGGAAATGAAGAAAATTACATCTAGGTCTAGATTTCTAGCAAAACTGGACCTTGTTGTAAATACTTGGAAGCTGAAGCTGTTGCTCAAAGTATTTTATGTGTATTTATAACTTTTTTTTTTGGAAAGCATGTATTTAGTATAAACCAACAAATATAAAATAAATGAAAAATGTTACAACAGTTGACTGTGTGTGATCTGGGGTTGAGAATTTGTCTCCAGGAGAGAATTTCACCACCATTATAGATTTTAATTTTACAGCTTCATATGAATTGTACGGAGCGATGCATGTATTGGATCATTTTGTTTTAATTTCCGATTATGTTGTTTGTCTTTTTCTAATAAGGAACTGAATTGTACAAACAAATGAGTTGATAAAGTCTGTCTTGTTTTTATTAAAAAATGTAGCTGAATTACTGGAATTTTACTGTACTTGACAAAAATACCTTGAAGTTTTTAATTAGCGCTTTTTAAATTGCCCCGTGAAGTGTCTGCCTTCAAAATAAGTTTTCTAGCAAAGCAGGCACTATTTTTATTAGAAAGTGAATTTGTCAGCATTGGCCTATCAAATGAAATATGGGCTGTGTTTTTTCATTTTTAAGCCTTTCTGTAATACTGTTCAAGAAAATTAATATGGTCTTGCAGAAATAGCAAAAGCATAGTTTGACATAGTTTCATTATTTTTCCCAATCATAATGTTCTTTCCCTTCAATAGCTTTATTTATAGACTCTTATATTAGACTCAACATGTTAAATCTTCCAAATATGGAATTACTGCTCGATTTGATAAATGAAGGACTAGATTCTTCCCTGTTTGCTGATGCCTATTCAGCGCAGAGCTGTAGCAATCAATGAACTGATACCAGCTGAAAGCTCGGTGTGGAGCCTAGTGTTACGACTGTCACTGATTTTAAGAAGCCTAAGGTCAGATCAGAGTGTGGTTTTTAACCTTACTTTTGCAGATACCAGAACTCTGTTTTGAAACTAAAAAAATAACTTTTATTTATTGTCCTTTCATGTTTTGTTAATTGGTGGGTGCTTGCTGTGTGTATGGGCCCTAATTTATTAATACTGAATGGGTCTGATAAATTATTCCGGGTTTTGTGGTTATAGGTATTTGTTTTCTTTTTATAGGTATGTTTATCATAGCTCCAAGTGGATGGTGGCTGGTAATGCCGACTCCCCGGTACCGCCTCGTGTTTATATTCACCCCGATTCACCCGCCTCCGGGGAGACATGGATGAGGCAAGTGATCAGCTTCGACAAACTGAAGCTTACCAATAATGAGCTGGACGATCAAGGGCATGTGAGTACTTGCTCTTCTGCAGTATTATACGTAGGCACATTGCTCAGCCCTGAAGGACTGACGTACAGCTTCAGGGTGCCAGAAATAGGCTTGACTTTTCAAAGCTGTTTTGGAACTTTACCGTCCAGATCTAAAATCTGCTTGCTTTCTGCTTCGATAATTAACTGCTTATTAGAGCCTGCTGTTTTACTCCCCCCTCAAAAACAGAACTCCTTCTGCAAAGTAAGACTTTACAAGGCTAAATTGCCTAATACGAAGGGGCAGAATTGCTCTCATGTTTTCCCACCGAGTGTGTTACTCGCAACTTCTGCTCCGATCAAAAAGGACGCTTAAATTCACAAGTGGCTAGAAGAAACATTAATAGTGTGTAATAACTTCATGTGAATAAAAATACACTTAACTATTTTCTTAACCTAAACATTTGTGTGAAATCCCATGAGGTGTTAATAATTGCAGTCAAAAACGAACAACATGGGAGCTGGGTTCGCTCCGATAATGATTTATTACATACCTTATGAAGCAAGACCCTTTCACAGCTGAGGCTCATTACTTGTGAAAAAACTGGCGAGGACGTATGTAGTATGAGTGTTCTGTTTGCAAGTTCTAAATTGTTTAGTTATGACATTATCTGATGTGACAAAATGTGTTATGTTAATATTTCCTTTTCTCTTCAAAACTGTTGAAACATGACAGATGTAAGCCAGTATCTTTCCAGCAATCCCTAAAATAGTTTTACTTGACACCTTAGGAAATAATTAAAAAACGAGAATTGTTTTTAGTCAGGGTGAAGTCTTTAATTTTGCAAAATCGCGTAATAAATGGCAAATGTTGGCTTTCTTTCAGAAGGAGCATCGAGTTCCAAGTAGTAGAGTTTTAAGATGTTAGAGGCAAGTTCTGAGACAGGATGTGGATTCCATTGTCCTTAGCGTAGCCCAGTTTGTTAAGCAGGGTACTTTCTCCTTCACGGAAGGGAGTGAAGGGAAATGTACCTGGCACAGAGTACAAAGATGCTACATGCATCTCTCAGTATAGTTGTAACTCTGTGACATTAAGCCAGGTATTTTGTCAATACACAGTCCAAGTTTAAGTATTTTTTCTCCCTGTTTGTGTTTGCGAAGGAGATTAACTTGAGACTCTGGCCAAATCGTGCAGGAGCTACAACTTCTGTGTTACAGAGGCAGGAATACAGGAGACTGGCTGGACCGAGCTACCAAGTGTGATAACAAGGATAAAAAGCCTCCCTGTCGCATAATACTGTTCATAATTTCATCGCGCTTTTCCTTAAAAGGAACGTGGGGGTATTTGCATCTCCTGAGTTAGCAGTGCCTGTGTTAAGGATTGACAGAAAGAGGTTTTACATCGCTTCTTTCCAGAATTACAGTTACAGGGTCTCATTTGGCAGTGTTTGTTTGAGTAAAGGTTACCACAGGTAGTTCCCTTTCGTTTCCCCAGCATTCGTGTGTTTCTGACTCTTCTCGAGTGGGAGTTGCTTTCTCTGAGTCCTGAGTCTATTGTAAGGGCTTTAAAAAGTGAAGCGGATGTGAATGGGTAAAATGTCGCTTTTGCAGCGGAGAGCAGGCCAGCTGGTTTTTGTACTCGGTTGTTTCAGAGGGGCGATACGTGGGTACTGTGGTCCACCCTTGCACTTGCGGTCGCAAACTGCTCTGTGATAAAATCTCGGCTACGTAGAGAATTGTATTGCCATATTTTTCCATACCAGATCTTAGCTTTGTTTTTATTCTGAACTGAAACCTGTGTAGTGTACACAGCACGCCATTATTCATAATGTGGGGGGATATAAATTCTCTGGTCTTTAGTTAAGTGTTTCGATTTGGAAACTAGTGAAGCAAAGCCCTAGTACAGTGATTTGAGACACATTGAACTGATTCAGAGCTACGGCAGCGCCCCTCCTCCCCAAAATGGAAATTTAAGTATTAAAATAAAAGGACAAAAGAAGGATGACTGTAAAATAATTTCATATTTCTCAAATCTGGGAAATTGCAAACATGTCATTCATAATTACCAGAAAAGGCAAAAGCAGAAAGCAGAAAAGTGTCTCTTCCAATGGGTACATTTTTTCTTTTAAAGCTATGGTAGTGTGGAATGCTGTATTGAAAAAGCTATGTAGCCTCTGAATGCCTCCAGCAATAATGGAAAACGAATAATCATATTTTGTGATGAATATAAAAAACAATTGTTTCGCATAAGCAGGAAGGAACCATTTTTCTCAAAAGGGTACCAGGGGAGGGATGGGGGATTAGAAGACCTAGGGGTCAAGGCTGTACTGTCCCTCGAATATTTCTTTTTACATCAAGTGTTCTGCCTCTCCCAGCCCTGTATGGGAGATGGGGTATACTTTAGATTATTAGAAAGTTGTTTATTTTTCCCCTCCCACTTAGGCAGAATGGCTCAGAGAAACCTCGGTGCGGTCTCTACACTCTGCCATCATTCCTCCAGTAGTTCAAGCAGTGTCGGGCTTTAGCTGTTGTTCTTTGGGTGTGCTTTCCATGCTGTCTGGTTCTGGGGCTTTAATCCTTGTCGAAATTGTTCCTTTGTTCTTCTCGTGCTCCTCAGGGGTGTCAGCTTTTGCAGAGTTTTTGCGCAAAAGCCCAGGGCTAGGTTTTGATCTTGCAGGCGTTGAGGTAGGGAGCTCACATGAGATCAACCCAGAGCCCTTTTACCTATTCCAGAGTATTAACTCTCAGAATCAGTGAGAGAAGTGACCCACGTCCATGGGAATGGGGACCGTATTTGCAAACAGACGCTAAGGTAGTATTCCTGTGCAGTATTTATATTGAGGTAGTAGTTCATGGCAGCCAGCTCCCCTTGCATTGCGTTGGCCTGGGATTAGCTTCTTGTGAAAGGAGATCAGCCATCTCTACGATGACTTGCTTCGCTGCTCGAACGCTTTCCGGGCTCCTTGCTGCCTGCTGCTATTTTCATCAGTATTTTGAGTGGGAGTTTGTGACGACGTAATTTTATAGTGATGTTCTGCGGAGAGATTTTGAAGTACATCTGCACGTAGGACACTCTCTGATACATGGGTTCCACTTGAAGGCTGAGGAGATCAAGCAAAATTTTTAAGGATATGTTTTCCTTGTGTGTTTTTGATCTCAAAAGGGAGTCCCCGGGTAAATTCCCTACTTTGGAAAGATTGTGTGCTTATAGAGGCATTAAGGGCCGATGGCATCATTAAGACACATACTGTGTCTTCCATTTGAGTTGTGACGGTAGGGAAAAGTAAACCTGCATTTTGCAGTTGACACCGAGAAGTGCGTGGTCTGGGTGCTCTTTGTTAATGCCTCTCATCCCCCTCTCATCTGTGGAGTAAGTGCTGCATTGTAAAAGCGGTCTGTCCCTCCGGCTGGTTCGAGCTGGCTGATTGTTCTATTCTGAGGCAGTTTTTAATCTGAATTTCAGTAGAGGGGAAAAGTCAATATTTTTGATGCTATTTTCCATGCTTTTCAACTGAGTATTTTTTGATGCAGAGGAACATCTTTTAGTGAAAATGAGGCTGTTAGCGTGTTAATTGTTCCTTGGTGGTTGGGGTTTTTTCTCCCCATTTGAAAGTGGGGTGAGGCTGGAAGCAGAGGCGGACTGTTGCTCTGCCCAGACTTGGCTCCAAGTAGCGAGCTCTGCTTGCAGTCAATGGGTAGTTACATGTTCTTGTCACAATGAAAAGCTGGGAAACATCAGCGTTTGCACTTGCAGTTTTTGTCTTTGTGAAGAGGGAATCCATGCTCCTCGGCCCCACACGCTTCCCTGACTGCAGAAAGCCTGAATACATGGGCTTTGCAGGGAGAACAAAGGAGGATTTTTGGTGAAAACAACACCCAAGTGACGACCATGCCGGTACTGGGGAGGTGGCTGTGTAATTTGTGCACCGCTGAGCTGCAGGAGGACCGGCATCTCCCCCGCGAAAGAGAATCGGGCTCGCATGTGCTGGCCGTGGCATTTGTGCCACGGCGGTACCCAAGCTCGGCGTCAGCGCTGAGGCCTCCTCACAGCGGCATCTCTCAAAAGTCGTATGGCAAAGGTAATCCCAACTTTGTGTGTCTGCAGGTGCCTTGGCCACCTTTGCTCTGCCAGGCTGTCGCTTTGCCCTGCTGCCTACCCGTGGGCTCCCTGCTGCGGTGTCTTCTGTCCGATAATGATGTCTTGACAGCTGCAGTGGTCAAAGTGTGATTTTTACCTTTGGCGGGAGAGGTTTATTGCCCCCCGAAGTGTTTTGGTCTTGCCTTGCGAGAGGTTTGTAGAGGGAGGCAGGCTCTTCAACTGTGAGTTGAAAGCAATGCCAGCTCGTGCTTGGCGTTTGGTGGGGTTTGTTCTGGTTGGGGTTTTTTGTTGTTGGCTTTTAAGGGTATGAAGGGAAAGTTGCTGGTTCTGCAGATAAACTGTTAGATCTGGTTTGTGCTGTTAAATGTGCGAGCAATGCAAAATGAAAAGCAGGAATCTCCTTTTCCTTAGCTTTTTCATCACAGTAACTTTCGGTGATGCTTAGAATAATAGAGCTAAAAGATTTTCAGAATGGGCATTGCATCTCCCTCTCCTTTTATGTCCTATCTACATAGCGTTGCTCCTTAATTCACCAGGGCTCTGCAGTTATGTGTTTGTTATTTAGAATTCAGAGTCCTGATCATTAACAAAGATCCCATTGTACAAGGCACAGTACAAAATCAAGAAAAAAAAAATTCTTGCTATGGATTTGGTAATCGTCTAACAGTGTGTCAGCGCAGCAAATTTCAGTATAGCACCGAGCCAAGCCAGGTGGCTCTTAAGAGATGACAAGGATCAGTTTAGCTGTAATAGCTACCCAGATAAGGAGTGGGAGGTGTTCATCTCCATGCTGCTGTCACTTGTCCTGATACATGAGCAGAGCAGAACCCAGTTCGTAGCTGCCTGGGTTATCATTGCGTACGGTCAAGCCCGCCGCATGGGCAAGCGGTAGTTTGCACCGCAGAGTGATGGGGTGAAGTAATTGGGGTGGGAGCAGAACGCGGCACGCTCAGTGGCACCCGGGCAAATGGCGAGGCACAGAATAGCGATGGGTTTGAACAGTGGAACAGAGCTTTCCTCGATCATTTTTTTCTGTTGCATCAGTACCTCCCGTGGTATCACTGGGTGTTCACAGGAAAACAGGGTCAGGAATGTGCTGTCCTCTCTGCATTTTCATTTTGTAGGTCTTTGCCAGCGGAGAACTGAAAGGAATGCTGTAAAAGAGAATACACATTTGCATGATAAAAATCTTGCTCTGTGCAAGATTTCAGAAACTGGGAAAAGGCTTCATAGGAGAACATCCATAGGGCAGTCCCTGAGCAAATTAATTGGAGCCTGTGATGTCATTGTCAAAACCTTACTTACAGGCTAATAAAACCCTTGATTATCCAGAAACTTGGCTTACCCAAAACGGGGTCATGTGATCTGGCCAGGACCAAGTGTATTAAACTAGCCAAACTCTAGTTTATCCAAATGAATGTAATGTCCTCTATGTCGTTTGGATGAATGAACTTCCACGGTGTCTGGCATAGGGGCTCTGTCGAGTGCCTGAGCACATGCACATTCTGAGGCTACTCAAGAAGCAGGAAATTAAAAAGCTTCCCCTGAATGTTGATTAGTGGTTCCACAGGCCAATAGCCATAGGACTATTTATTTATCAGGTTACTAATTTCTTAGGCCTTCCAACAATAATAGTTGAGCTTCCAATTTTTTTTTTTGTTGAAATCTTCTATTTTAGTAGTGGTTAGCTGAAGTGGAGTAAAATAGAGAAAAAATTCTGTATTTTAAACCTCCTCTAAAATTTGGGAGCAATATCAAGAGGTATTTTTGTGTTTAATTTTATGCACTCTGTGTTCATATACTTCTTGTTTATCATTTATTCTTAGTTGCGTTTTGGTATGCTGGGAGGGGTTTGTGTATTGATATTCATTGTCCATATTATAAATCTAGGGTTATTAACACTTTAGAGTTTTGGATTTTGGTGTTATTCTACTCTAAGTTTCTGCTTCTTCAGAGTGTGAGAGTCTCAGCTTGTGTTCAAAACAAGGTGTGTTTCCAGCCTTTGGGATTATCAGGAAAAAAAAATAGCTCCAAGCATATCCCAAAGGTTCCAAAAACAAAAGGCAAATGCTGCTGCTGTTAATCCTGTTAGATCAAATCTAGGCTCCAGTGGAAAAAAGTGACAAAAATTTTCTAATTCCAGTGGGACCAGGAATTCACTCCTGATTTTTTTTTTTTTTTTTTTTGAGCCAGTCTCAATTGAGCCAGTCTCTGAATTTGGAGCTCCTGAGTCGTAATTTTTAAATGCTTAGGGTTGGCAATAACATAAATGCATGGGGATTAGACTACTGTAATAAGAACCTTCAGAGGTTAAAGAAAACATTTGATTTCCAGTAAGTGGCATGGTAAACACATACCATAATCTGTTCCAAAAAGCTATTAGTCCTGAAACAGCAGGGTGTCCTTTCTAATAAATGTTATCTTTTTCCTTTCATGACTGCATAGATAATCCTTCACTCTATGCATAAATATCAGCCTCGTGTCCACGTCATCCGAAAAGACTGTGGAGATGATCTGTCCCCCGTCAAGCCTATCCCTTCAGGAGAAGGGGTGAAAGCCTTCTCCTTTCCAGAGACAGTTTTCACTACTGTCACAGCATACCAAAATCAACAGGTAACGTGGGCTTTCTGCTTAGGACTTTACAGGCTTTTCAGAGTAGACCAGGGAAGTCAGGGATAGGAGAAAAGCGAATACTTTTATTATACCACTTATTAAAAAGCATTGTCTAAACCCTTTTTGTATTACAAGTAGCTTTCACTAGTGTTCTTGCAGCAGCGCCTGGAGGCTATAGCTGAGACTTCAGGCCATGTGGGCTAGATGCTGCGCGTAAGAAGTCATGCTTATTATGGAGATCACCCAGTCTAATTAGCATAGCTAATGGTGTCTTAATTATAAATACAGCATCGAAGCACAAGGCAAAGAGCAGTCTAATTTTTTTAAAGGTGTGTTTGTACCTTTACGTGTAGATACGTGTCTGGATAGAATTTGTAAAGCACTTTTGTTCCTGACTCCAGTGATTTCAAAACTCCCAGTACCTTAACAGAGAAGCTGAGGTCTGAAGAAAGTTGCAGTCATTTTCATTAACTGCATTCAGCATATGTTATTAACTGCAATCTATTTGGGTCCGCACAGAGTCAAAGTCAAAAGTAAACTGCAGGTTGCGTGACTCTGGTGTTCAGCTCTTATTATCACTTGTTTAAGTATTAACATACATAGTGACACCATAGTTAGTGTTGTGAGATTTTATTAATTCCAGGTAAGTTATTGCAGCTATATTTTGGGAAATTATATATGCCTTGCTATCTTACAAAGAGGAGAGCAGGATAGCCATGTAAATACTGAAATATAATTATTTTGTGCCTATCCTGTTTATTTAAATAAACTACAAGTATTTGGGCGGGGGGGGGTGTTGCTGTTTTTTTATGGAGGATAATAGCCTAGAGATAATCTCTCTTTTCACATTTCCTTCTTGACCTGTACAGAAATAAAATTTAATTTAAATTTTATTGCAGTTAGGCAGTGTACTTTCTTAGGTGAAGAATGACATTTGCCAGAAGATTTTTCTCAAGAATTCCAACCTGCCATTTGGTAGCATTAAATACCTATTAGCTTCTCTGGGGATTTGCAAAAATAATGATCAGAAGGCTGGCCCTTATTTTGCTGTGTTTCAGGACAACCATCTTAAACCATGCAAATGTGAAGATGTTTCTGCACCACTGTCAGCTTAATTCTATCAGGAGAGTAATTTTGTGTGTTACTTAACTGAATTTGCAGGTAATAATTTCTCTACTCATATTCACAGATAACTCGTCTGAAGATTGATAGGAATCCATTCGCCAAAGGGTTTAGAGATTCGGGACGTAACAGGTAGGTGTTGGGGAAGGAGGTGGGCTTGCTACTGCTGACAGATTTGGTTTGTGAAGGCTGGTCGAGGGGAATACCTGTATTTACAAACAAATTAGTCTGAGGACTCGGACTCCTTGAGGGAGCACTTAGGCTCCCCAGTAATGTTCTCTGGTGGGCTCCCGTTCTTACTCCTCTGACCTTATAGGTCAAGAACGGGTTGGCACTTGGCTTGACTCATGTACTCAAGTTTCCTTTCGGTGGAAGCGGTGGCATACCGTGAAGGCTGCAAATGGAATTAATGCATACTCAGGTCTGTGATTTCAGGCTGCTCCTGAAATCTCCTCTTTCTTCTGGCTGGAGACACAAATTGCAGTGTCAAACTATAAGCCCAGGTTCTCTTGCATGTAAGTGACATTTAGCATGGATGAATGGCTCGTTGCTTTCTCTTGAAGAGGGAGAAACTGAGTTGCCTTGTGCGGTAACCTTACGTTTACTGCACTTGCCTAGGAGGTGGGAGACCTGTGTTCAAGTGTCTCTTTAGCCTAAGGAGTTTTAAATCCACTTCCTAGGTGAATGCCTTTCCTACTAGGCTATAGATGACCTTGAAACGAGCCTGGTTTCCACCTATTCTGTTGCGGTTGGGCTGATTAATTGCTTGTTCTCTCTTGATCCATGAATCTTTCAAAATAGCAATGGGGAATCTGAGTAGTGCAAAGTGGAGACTTGGGTCTAGTCCCTGCTGCCAGTACTGATGAGGTATTTTATCCAAAGACCGTTTAATGCAAAATACTTAAGCCTGTTATGAATTGTATGTTAAACCGTTTCAGCTAAAAAAAGCAGCATTTAATTATGGTGCGTATTATACATCAGTTCCAGTGACCACATTGCGTTTGGTGTCTACAGCTGCTGTATTTATGATCTAGCCTTGCAGAGAAGGGAGCAGAGCCTGAGCTGGTAGGAATGCTCAGAGAGTATCTTTTGGTAGCTGCTTTATTAGGCTTCTCTTTTAGCAGAGGCTACAGCATTAAAGCCTCTTTTGTGCTTCCACCTGAGTTACATACGTGCTGAGACTGGACAACAAACAAGAGTAGTTTTTAGAAGATGAACAGTTGCAGAAGGGGTGGGGTGGTTGTAAAGGTTTACAGGAACCCACTGTAAGTATCTTTTCAGTTTGCACTCTGCATTTGTTGCTCTCTAAGATTTTTGTCTTCTAGCAAGAAACAATTGGCCATGCTCTGTCCTGGGGCCTGGAAGGGATGCCCCAGGCACCGGAATAAATTGAGTTTTGTCCTCCTTTGTAGCCTTCTAGTTTGAAATTAAGTGAACAGTAACTTCCAGATAAATGCAGTGACTGAAGAAGCCAAACATGCTGTGTGTACTTAGGGAAGAAAAGAGTTGCCATACATGCCCTATTTGACAGCTTTCCGTGGGCAGTGTCTGTGCTATGCATGCGTTATGCAGAGCTATAAAATGAGTACTGAGGAGCCTCCTAAGAATCGTGAAACCCTGACTCCTCTGAAATTTCTGAGTTTATGAAACAAGAGAAGATGCCCTTGAAAATAGAGAGGAAAGAATCGTGCAGAAACCAGTTTTGAACTGGATGTAACGTGGCAGGACAGCCCTGGTATTACCCAAGGACGATGTAGGTGCAGTAAGAGCACTGCATCTGCAACCATGCAAATCCAATTGTACGACTGGGGATATCCAGAGAGGTGGGGTTTTTTTTGTTTGGCTGCTAGGAATAAGTTTGGTTCGGGCATTAGGAAAAAAACAGGATATATTAACTGAAAGACAGTTACAGTTTATGGAAATGGATTAGGAGGCCAGTCCTGTAGGAAGGGCCAGCCTCTGTATAAATGTTTCCGAACTGGCTTTAGATGACGTCTGAATGCTTTTACTGTACCAAACACACTCGTTACAGAAGTGACTCTGCAAACCCTTGTCCATTGCAAATTGACATTGGTTTACTGAAGTCAGTATTGCTGTTCTTTTTGATAGGCTCTATGGTACTGAATAAGTGTGTTTGGGAACGCAGCTCAGATTTTTAATTGTCGAGGAAAATTTCCTATTTTATTTTAAATTACTGGTCTACTCAGTTGATTATTATTTTAATCTGTTGCTGAAGATTGAAATTAAATGTTAAGATTCGGTTGTCTTCATTGTTCTAGCCGGTATACTTATCACCTAGGCATTTTAATCTCCAACAAAAGTGTAAAAAAAATGCTGTGGTACCATTATCTCCAACTTTTCAATGTTGCTTTAATTATTGCAGCTGTCTTACTCTGCACTGCTGCATGCAATGATTCTGTTTAATTAAAAATATTCCCTTTCAGGTCATTCCCGTTCAGTCCCACAGGCTATTTTACAGAAGTCAGTAGCTTCACCTTTTAAAAGCATGCCCTGTGCATTTGCAAAGTGCAACAGAATTTATGTGCTGAGAATAGTTTCATTCTTCAGTTAGGCCTTAAGTTTGACCCTATAAAAACTTTTACTCAGGAAAGGACCAGAATTTCTCCCTTTAAATACTTCAGGAAAAACATAACTGTTTTGTTAAATAAACTTGGCCATTTGATAGCGTAAATTAGGGTGGTGATAAAATGTGGAAATTGTTCGAAGGCATCTTGTATAAATTATCGCCTTGGCTGCACTCCTCCAGGAGGTGGCTTTTATCTCCGCTTTAACTAGAAATGAAAATTCACCATTGCTGCAGAAAATGAAGGCTATCTTTTTAGTCGAGGTTCAGCTAATAAATACTTTATAACGGTTTCCTGAAATACATTTGTGATCCTGCTGGAAATGCAACGGGGAAGAAGCAGTATCAGAAGAACATGTCGGTAGCTTCAAATTGGGCTATTTGCATAATTCGAGTTTACAGAGTGCTGCTGCTCAAAGGCAAGCACTTGTATTTGGTGCGTGCCTGATGCTGACACTTAACAGGCCTTTGGGGCCCAGCAGCCAAAAATAACAGCAAAATGATACCTCTGAGGTGCATTATTCATAAAATTCTGTCAGAAAACAAAGGAGCCTTTACCTTCAGGAAATATTCTTGTAAATATTGTCTGCCATGATTGTCTACCAGGTTATTTCTGTTTTGTCATAACACTCTTGAAAGAAAATGATTGCCTTTAGGAACTGAAAATCTTCATTTTGCTCAGCACATAACAACCAAGACACAACATTGCTTTGTACGTTTTAGTACCCAAAGAGCTGTACATCCAGGGCTTGCTCATGTTGTAAGCGTGATTTTCCTTCTCATTGGTAATGACTGGGAATCCTGTTTTAACAGAAGTTGTCAGTGGATCACCTTTGTTCTAGGCAGAAATAGGAGATCTTCCCTCTGGCAGTTAGAGCGTTACTTTTAAGGAAATGTCATACTAGGAAAACATGTAACGTCATTTTAGCCAAGTTGTGTCGTCCCCCGCGCCCCCTGCAAAAAAAACCCCAAAAGCCAAAAGTGACATCGAGAGCCAGATTGTGGAAATGGGAAACTCTTTGCATGCTGCCAGCCCAGTGACTGCAGATCACAGCGGTCTCATGGGTTAGGATGTAAGGCGCTTTTCTAAAAAGCAAAATGAAACTCAAAATAATCCTGAAATGTGACTAATTTTTATATGTTTCTGAGGTAAACTATGCAGAGAAATGTGGCAAAATACAGCTTTCTTTCATGACGCTGTGATGTTTTTGTTCTAAATAGAATGGGACTGGAAGCTCTGGTAGAGTCTTATGCCTTCTGGAGACCTTCACTGAGGACACTTACGTTTGAAGATATACCTGGGATACCCAAGCAAGGTAACAGTCATCTTTGTGTTCTTTCAAAACAAAAATGCATGAAGATAAAGCTTCGCCCATCATTCTTTACAAAAATCTAGATGAGTGTGTCGTTTGCAGAGAAAAAACGATGAACCAACCCCAGCGCAGGCCATCACCTCTCATCAGAGCTATTCTAAGTTAGAAAACTAATGCTAATTTAACCACTGTGGCAGTAAAAATGTTAGGTCGTAAAGATAAATCAGATCACATGTGGAAGATGGCAGTTATTTAAGGATGGAATAACCTCTTCCTTAGTGTTACGCTCTGGCTAGATATACAAGGCAGAGTTCATTTATAGATGACTTCCGTTGTACACATCCAGAGTCCAGTATAGGAATTACTTGTGTGTTTAAGAGGAAGAAAAAGGAATGGGAGAAGAAATGTCCTCTAATTGGGTTTCCTCCTTGGAAAGCCTCCTTGATTCTTAAAGACCTAAAAATTGTTCAGTAAAAGCCCAACAGACTTTATCTGCATCCCAGAGCTTGAAAAAATGGACTTCCTCGCCATTTTGTTTTTTCCTGCTCCCCAGTCCATAACCTCTTGGCTCCCACTTTCTCCAGCCTAGAGGTAGTGCTGTGGGGGACGGAGGGGTATTTAAATGGCCTGTTTGGACAGAGAGGGGAATCTCTGTACTCTTTTCTGAGTTCCTTTATTTCCAAAGTACCCCAACGCATGTAGAAAACCTCTCAGACGTTTCCCAACTAAGTCAGACCTATTGCTCTTGATTCTTTGCATTTCCTGCTACCAAATTTGCAAACATCCTTCCTGCCTTCTTGATAACGTATTCCAAAGCCATTAAGCATCTTCAGAGCAAAAACCCAGAAAATACGGAAATGCACAGAAACCACTTTTGTCAACTTCTCCCAACTTAGCGCGCCCCTTTGAGAAATCTTACGCATCCATGCCTGATGTGTGCAATTAAAAAGGTGTTTTTGTGCCAAGTCACAGATACATTGGACGAGGGTTGGCAGGGTTTTGGGTGGAGGATGGGGGCGGGGGGACTGTCCTCGTAAAACAGGCCTGTAATGAGAAGCCAGCATCAGACCTGAAATACCTTGTCAGACTGTGTAAGACTGAAAGGCAACTCACTATGAAGTTAAAATGTCTAGGAGACAGGCCAGCTGTGTTGCCCTGTTTGTAGACAGCAGCACTGTTTGAGAGCAGGGCAACTGCTGCTGTGAACTTCCCGCTTCCTTTTCTGCTGTTGCAGGTGAAGGAGCTTGTTGAAGTTACTGTTGATGTTCATAGAATGGGAACTGGGATCCTTGGAAAATCTTTAGTCAACTGTACCTTGGCCAGTAGGGTGATTTAGAGACTTGCTGAAAGACCCCATTAGAGATTTGCCCTGGCTGTTAGTGCTGGAAGTGCCCACCTTTGAGTAGCGGAGGCATTGACATAGATTGGAAGAAAAATAAGTATGCCTTACGCTAGGATTTCTTGAACGTGGCAGTGTCTCATGGTGCTTTGTGCCTGTTGTGGCCTGTCAACAGAGCAAGAAGAAGCAGCCAGAGTTCACTGATAATGTATTTTGCTTTTTAGTAGCTCACCTATCATGAAAACTTGTTAACTTATTGACAGCCTGTATCTCTCTGCAGCATCAAACTGTTGATGGTTAATGTGATTCACAAACAGGAGAGTCTTCTGTGTTAAGTGCCTTCCACCTGGGAGACTGTGAAAGGCCCAAATCAATTTTTCTACACTCATTTTTTGGGGAGATACAATCTCTAAGAAAAAGAAGTGTTTCTTACAGCTGGGAAACTTTCGGTCCTGAGAAAAGGCTTCGCTTTGTAGCAAGCAGTGTGTGTCAGGAGCATTCAGCACTGGTATTTGTCGTGTAAAAAGTTCTGATATCAGTAAATGAACAGTTTATGAACAGTTTGCAGCAAACCTAAACCTCCACCTACCCGTTCAAGAAACGAAGCAGCCGTGCACAGTACTCAGCCTACGCTTTTCCTGAAGTTGTTCTGAAGTTTTGTTCTCAAGTTTTTTGGTTTGAAGTTGGAAGTTTTTTGTTCTCAAGTTTTGTTCTGAAGTTGTGAACTTTCCTGAAGCTGTTGAACTGTGGGAGTCTCTATCCTAAGGAGCCGGTTCCTCAGCTGGTGCTCTGACGGCGAGTCAGGCACAGAGTGCTTGAAACGCATTCTGGGGTGTAGCAACAGCATAGACAATACGAAATTCATAACTTTGAAGAAGGCTTCCTGTGATGTGGCACTCACCTGGCTACATCTAAGCTGCCATGCAGGTTGCTTCCCGTGTCAAATAAAGAGTAGTTAACCTTTCGGGAGCTTTAAGTATTGAGTGATGGTTGCAAAAGCACAACTTACATTCTCTTTCTTGGACAGGTTGTTTCTTTAAGAATACGCATGTGCCATACACGCACACATCCCCCTGCACGTGTATGTACATGTCATTTTTTGAATGAATTTGCGTTGTGTTTCACGTCAAGGGTTATTATAAAAGACAAAGGTCTTGATCTGTCACCTAGGAAGTGAACCTTTTCCAACATGTGTCTTACACTGTAATATTCTCTTGCAGGAAATGCAGGTTCCTCTACTTTACTCCAGGGATCTGGCAGTGGAGTGCCATCTACCCACCCTCACCTTTTACCGGGTTCCCCTTGCTCATCTCCAGCCTTCCACCTCAGTCCCAACACTAGCCAGCTCTGTAGCCTTGCTCCAGCTGACTACACAGCTTGTGCCCGCTCAGGCTTGACCCTGAACAGATACAGCACTTCTTTGGCTGAAACCTACAACAGGCTCACAAACCAAACCAGTGAGACGTTTGCACCCCCGAGGACTCCCTCCTATGTCGGTGTGTCGAGTAGCACAACTGTGAATATGTCTATGAGTGGCAATGATGGGGATGCGTTCAGCTGCCCGCAGACTGGCTTATCTATGCAGATTTCAGGGATGTCTCCGCAGCTCCAGTACATCATGCCATCCCCCTCCAGCAATGCCTTTACCACTAATCAAACCCACCAAGGCTCCTACAACACGTTTAGACTGCACAGTCCCTGTGCGCTCTATGGATATAACTTTTCCACATCCCCTAAACTGGCTGCCAGTCCTGAGAAAATCGTTTCTTCCCAAGGAAGTTTCTTGGGGTCCTCGCCAAGCGGAACCATGACGGATCGGCAGATGTTGCCCCCCGTGGAAGGAGTGCACTTACTTAGCAGTGGGGGGCAGCAGAATTTCTTTGACTCTAGGACCCTAGGAAGCTTAACACTCTCATCTTCTCAAGTGTCTGCACATATGGTTTGATGAAGCCTTTAAGTAAAAGTACAGTATGTTTGGTGTCTACAATGTATTTCTTTTGGAATATGAAAGGACACTCGATGTAGCTTGTAAAGTGTGTGTATATATAATATGAGAGGAAGTTTCACTGAATTTTTGACTTGCTCGTGGCCAGATTATTCTCCTATTTTGAGTTACACAGAGTTTGTTGCGGTGCAGACTGCTTTAGTTTTCTGGTATAATACACTTAGTTGTATAACACGTTGGGACATATGCAACAAATTAAGTAAGACTTCCTCCCCTTTCCCCCTCCTCTGTTCTAACCCCTTTAAAGAATGAAATGACACTTGGAGTATTAAACAACACAAACAAGCCCACTTACATTTCCTATAGTACTAGCAAGTTTCTTTAAAACATTTGTACAATGATAAGCTGATGCACCAAAGGCATTTACAAGTTTCTTCTCTGTTATAAGGGATATGAAGGGTATTTGGACTTTTAAGTGTTAAGCATCAAGCATCCAGCCTAAAATAGACGTTTAGCTAATGGATTATTTACAAAGTAAACGGAAAGATTAGTTTGCCTTCTCATGATATGCTGTTTTTAGCTTATCAACGGCACAGCATTCTTACTAGGATTTATTTTTTTCAGCATTAGTTCTAGATTTATGTTTAGGTATTTGAAGACAAATAATGCATATTCAAATTGTGGCGATAGGAGTAATTTAAACCAACAGCAGAAGCAGCAGCATTCCTTGGTACAGAATGAACTTTGGGGTGCTTAATTTTTGTCAAAGGAAGGGCTTGATGCATTTTTTCTCCATAAATATTGCCTATAAGACATTTACTGGACAGTAGGATATTCTAATGTATCTTTGTTTTTGTATTTTTACTTTTTTAAAGGAAAACGCAGGTTTGATTTAGGAAAAAAAAAAGTGAGCAGGATGAGAAATTCCATTATTGGTTTTACCCTTTTGTGTGTGTGTTGTGTTTTGGGTTTCGTTGTTTTTTTTTTAATAAGGGCAAAAAGTCCTCCATCCTCAGTATCTCATAAATACATCGCCTGTAGCAATTAGTCAGATAACCCAGTTTGCCCACAAGTGTTGCTGGAAACAGAACTTTGTCGTAGCTGCCTCCCTGTAACGCGGCCAGACTGGGACCAGGATTACAATAGCAAAATTCCTTTAATAGTTTACTTTCAATGCTGCAGCGTGACACCTACAGCCTACGTCCCTCCCTCCAGGGAGCCATCTGTCTGTCTCTTATTCCTTTCTGTCGTGAGGTTACTGCTGCTCTGTTCTCAGTCAGTTTTTGCCCTGGAATTGGAGAGGTTCCCTTCCTTCCCAGCTCTGGTTTTAACTGGTGCTTTTAAGAACGCTGATCACAACCCGCTCCTGACCAGGCTTCTCCAGAGTGACAAGGACACGGGGAGACACTTGTCGTGGCAAAATTTCTGCCCTCACCTGCACAGCTCCGGTGCGCATCAGTCCTGCTGCGAAAGCTGCCTTTCGGCTGCCCGCCTGTCGGAGCTGAACGATGGAGGTTGTAGAACAGATTTTAATGCGTGAGAGAATGGGTTGTTTTCAACAGTACACTAAGCCTCCTTTATATTGTGCAGGTGATGTAAAGGCATTGTAAAGTGGGTACAAGTGTTGTTGAAAATGCTTCCCTGGTCAGCACTGAAGGAGAATAAGGCCTTTCAGATTTTACGTTTTTCTCTGTTAGATTTTTGGGTGAAGGTGGATTGTTGTGTTTCTCAAGAGTTCCTGCGTCTCTTCTGGCAAACAGTGGGCTTAACTGCTCCCACTTCAAGAAGGACTCATTGCGGCTAGTATTTCTTCAGTGGGTTGGAGATAATGCATGCAGAAACAGCCTTCTCGCTTATTATTTGGGAATGGAAGAGAAACCACAGCAGTCTTTAAGCTCGTGCCTGGAGAAGGCTTTATTTCTGTTAGTTACATATTTGTTTGTGTTAAAGAGCACACGTAGAAAGTTCTCATTCAAAGCTGGAAAGACAAGAGGATGAGCCTGCAGTTGAGGAGATGTGGGTTTGCTTCTTTGCTGTCACAAACTTCCCAAGTGACCTTGGTCAATTCACTCAGCCTTTCTATATCTAATTTTTTTTCTTCTGTAAAATGTGATAATAGCACTTCTCTGCCTCACAGTAAATGGTGACAGTACGTTAAAGGTGAAGATCATCTTTACATCTACTGTACTGTGGACACTACATTACAGATGAATGGCTAGGTAGTGTTCATATATGAGGATAACAAAGAGCATTTGTGTACTTCAGGTCTGTCGCTAGTTTTGGCATTGCAGTGTCCTTTGAGGCAGATGTCCTAGCAAAGACCTGCAATGCTAAAAACACTGTACAAAAACCTCACACTAAGAATTTGTGAAATGGTTCTAAGTCGTGTAGAAGATGGGCAAATTTTCAGTTATGTAAATTGTCATAGCTCTGTTGGTTTAAATTAACAAGAAACTTGTGTATAGTAATTCCTGCTCTAGCCAAAACTTTGAAATATTGCGGTTGGACAAATCTTTAAATGGGAAGAATGATACAATTAATCTGTACTTGAAAAAGGTTAAAGATAATTATCCATGTAATCTGAAGGGCTGTGACTAGGTAGAGATGTGGAAGAGCTAACTCGTGCATGTTCCTAAGGGAAAAAAAAAAAGGTTGTGCATGGATGTTCGTGGAGGTGCTCCTGGCAAGAGTATGTACTTTATCGTCTGGGAATTTTTTAGAACTGGTCTCTTACTTTTCCTCAGATTATTCTTATCATATAACCACACAATATTGTTTGAAACATTTGTTCCTTAAAATTTGAATCATACTGTAAATACTTACTGGTGTGTCTTTGTGAAAAGACTAGGCTTTTTATTAACATAGTAAATGCTATATATGCATTATATCTATAATTACATATCTGTATTTTACAAAAATGCCACAGAAAATATATTAAAGTGTGTATTCAAACACTTTTTACTACATTTGGAAAATTGAGGGGCTTGGGCCTTTTTTTTTTTCTCTACAACTTCAGCAAGACCAAAGGAAGTGACTCTAAGGTAAGCTCTGAATTCAAAGACTTAATACAACAAGCTGCAATGATCCAACTAGTCCACAGTTCTTACATGGTTCAGTTTAACCATCTGCTGTTGAACCTCTCTGTTGTTTGTATGCAAAGGTTACGACAGATGTCAGGTACAAGGAGATGCTGGGGCTGATAGCGAGCTGTGAGGTTTTTACGTGGGAAGAAGGGACTGAGCAGCTTGCCGGGCTCATTAGCCAGTGATGGAGCCTTTCTGGTTCCTCACAGCCCAGCTCATCCCAGCTGCCAAGACCGGTTCAACTGCCCCGTACCAGCCAGATCTGGGAAGTTAGCACTTCATGTGACCAGGTGCTTGAGCAGGAGCTCGGTACCCTGCATATTTTCTCTCTGTTCTGCTCTTACGTTCGTCATTCCCTCTCTGTTCTGCTTATTCTAAATGCAAAAATCCATCGATTCCTAAGGCACAATTTACAACCTATAATCAGCTGGGTATACTGTTACTCAGCAATGAGCAACATTTCTCCCCCCAGAAACACTGTTATGCGTAGTGGCCTTATTTCCTATTGTACTGCAGTAAATGATTCCATGTGACATAGGGCACAGGGCCTGAAAATCTGATTACTTTAGAGACTAGGGTTTCATAGTCACTTAACACCAGCATTGTTGCAAATGACCAGAATTAGGGCAAGAGAAGTAGGCATGAAATGCTTGATCATAAATATCAGGCCTCAAGAGAGAATGAAAGCTTCTGTTTTTAATAAGAGCCTTTTTTGGAATGGCACAATCAGATTCTGAGAGGGCTCATTTCTGCTTCGACAGAGAACAACAGGAGACAACTTTAAAATTACAGACGGTGTCAGCATTAGTGCTAGCAAGTCTATACCATGAGCAGTTCACCAGAAGGAACGTAAGTCGTCATCAGAAGTAGCTCACAGGTTCTGTGGGTATATTTTTCCTGTAAAGATAATACATCTAGTTAGTACTGTGTAGAAGTGTGTTTAAATAGTCTGAAGAGTAGCTACTTTCAGAGGTCCTCTGAAGTCCAAGTTTTAATATCAATAACTGCAATTTATCATAATGAGGTAATGGTTAGTCTTTGTGGGCTGCCTTTCCACTTCTGCGGACAAAATATATTTTCCTGGAGGTAACGCCCAGGTTTCAAGACAAGCGCTGGGGCTCCAATTCTGCGGCAGGGAATGGCAGGAGAAGTGGAGATAGCACAAATGGACCCTGCAATCACATCAGACACTTTTGAAATGTCACAGGTACTGTGATGGCACCCACGATGTATAGTTCTGTCCAAATATATCTTGGTGCACCTCTCACAGGAGCCTGTAGCCTAAAACGAGAACTGACATCAAAGGCTAGTCTAGAAGGATAAAGCATGATGTGAAAATACTTGCGCTACCCGAAAGCTGGGCTATTGCAGTGAACGCTAAGTGTAGCCCCAGCACAGACTCAACCTATGTCAGCACTGCAGCCACTTGGACTATGCCGTGCCCTTATGTTCATTTGCACACCACTGGGTTTTATTTGGATGCTGTAATATAGAGCCAAGAGTAAATTTAGAGCACATTGGAGGAAACCTGGACTCCACTGTGGCCAGTGGTAATGTTGCCATTGACTTGAGCTTTATGGATACCACATTTTCAGACCCTAAGCCATCCCCCTTTCCGTTGCTGAGTACTTTACCCACGCAGCAGCTGTAGTTACACTGTTTTCAGGGATGTTCTTCCGGCCCGTTGGGGTGTTTTTCGGGTGGATAACTGGCTTTTTGCATTTCACATGCTCATATTTTGTTTTTCAATTTTTGCTTCTGCATATTTTAAGCCACAGTCTGTCTCACACTGAAAGATAAGACAAGCCTGGAACTCAGTGCTCCCTCCCCCAGAAGGCTTGCCGATGGATGGTGTATTCCCTTCCACTGCAGATAATTGACTATATATTTCCCACAATGTTTTTATTGTATTTTACAGAGAAAAGTAATAAAAATAGAGGCTGTATCACAATCAAAGCAGTGTTTCCATTCCTCAGGCAATATTTTTCACTAACCCAAAGGAAAACGCCTCCCCACCC